ACCCCACATACAAATTATTCACCCGTGTACTCTGAGTACTCTAATGGCCCGGCCACACTAAGGAGAAATGCCGTTAATTATCGCGTTGATGGATGTTGAATCTAGGTGTGGCCACGAATTATCGCGATAATTTGACAACGGCATTAACAATGCCGTTTCCCGTTTGCCGATAACTCGAGTGGCGGTACATCAAAGGATTAACGCGCGAATTATCGCGTTGAAGCGGCCACACTACGTTTGTCTCATTGTGCACGGTGAGTGCCACGGGGTTGCACGTATGACTGCGATGGAGTGGAGTAATGAAAAAGCTTTTCGAGATTGAATTAAAAAAAATACTTCAAAAGTATACTTTAATTTACGATATGAAACCAAGAAAAATAAGCAGGAGAAAAAAAACAATTTTTGCAGGTCAAAATTCATAGTGTACAGTGGTACGAAACCATAGATATAATACGAAACCCTGGGTACGTGTATCTAATTCGCACTTGACCAGTATTTATGATTGGCTTATTAGTTATTGTTTCATTAAAATATATTTACGTTTGTCTTATTATTTAGCTTAAACCATTGGACATCTTTCTAGTGCAATTTGGATGCGGGAAAAAAATAAAACATAAATAGATTTACAGTGTACGTTTCCTGTGCATTTTTAGCATCCACCATCTTCTTTTTCTTTGTATTCTTTGTTTGTTTTTTTGTATTATAGACACACACAGCAGCATTAAGCTACTATTTTACGCTGGTATTCTGTGAGAGCGTGGTCCTTCCGCGGTCGAAACATTTTACGCCGTTGAACGGCAAATTTAATGCCGTTCAACGGGAAACGACGTTGACCGTTCAAGTGTAGCCACTCATTTTATCGCGTTAAATTTAAGGTAATAATTGTTGCGTTTATGGGCATTGACGTTGCTCGTTAGTGTAGCCGCAGCATAACCAACTTAACGCAAATCCACAAACAGTTCCACCTCTAGAAACATTGGATGCAGAAGATGCAGCTGCAAATCCTTGTAATAGTAGTGGCCAGGATATTGAAAATATTTTAACATCCTTTGAAAAATAGGAGTTTAAGTACCTATGTAATTGTCTTTTAAAAATTAAAATATTGATTGTATGGAAATGTCAATTTTCTTGAGTTTGTTCATACAAATCGGAAATTTTGTTTTTAATGACCTAAATTTCATTTACTAACATTTAACTCAGTGATTAATAAAAAGTTAAAAACACATTTTATACAATGTAACAAATAGGTACAAGCTTTATTATCCAAACTACAATCAAAATGTTTCTCGTCTGTTCAATAATTAAAAATGATTATGGGTAGTACGAGTGTTTTCTTTGAGTTGACTATGAGGTGTTTATTGGTTAAATTGCCATTCTAATCTTCCGACATCAGAAAGAAAATAACTAGTCAACTCCATTCTTGTTTCCTCTGCGGTGACTATTGCATCTGAGGTGGTATCATTATCTTCTCTGGGCATGTTAACTAAACAATTTTCATGGGGATGCCTTAGCCATTCACCGGGAATGACTTCTCCTTGTTTATTTTCAGAATCGTATCAGTATCGTAGTAAAATTGAATAAATGTATACACGCCAATGTTACAATCGCAGCTTTTTCTTTTTTTGTTTATGAAAAATCTGAAATTTGTTTGCTAACTGCCCAAACACATTTTCAACTACTCTTCTCCCTCGACATATACGATAGTTAAAAATCCTCTTTGGATATATTATTATGTCATTACCATCATAAGCTTTCATAATATGAGTTTGCAATGGAAAAGCGTACCTATCACTCATAAAAAAGTATGAAACTGGTAAATTCCGTCCAGGTAAAGGATTATTAGGGTAAAACACCCGGTAGTCAGCCCTGTGCCAGTACTCAGCCTTTACAGACATTATTTCCTTATAAATAGTGCTGATATTTGTCTACACCTTTAAAATAACGTTTAATTGAATCCATGTCTCCTTATTGGTTAATATGCACACCTACGAACCAATAGCTCATCAGGTTGAGAGCTATACTCGTTAATTTACACTGCTGTCAAAGACACGACTAGACGCATCGCTTTTGCAATTTTTTTCTTAAGGAAACGCGCTTGAGTATTCGGTAAGTTTTTGGGTGTATTTGCTGTAATTTATGGTAGATTGTTGTACTGTTTTACACTAAAATGATTATTCTGTCATAATGTTAACTAATAAATGCATTTTATTTGTTTGATATGTTGTAATTTAGGTGGCCGACTACCGGGTTTCAAATTTTTAGGGTAGATCCAGTACTCAACCTTAAGTGGCCGACTACTGGTTTTTTCATGATTTTCTTATATGTGGTTGAGATTACCGAAGCGAATAGTCCCAATTTTGCCCATTACTTTCGGTTTAACTCTTATGAGGCGAAAAGTGTATTTTACCAGTAGTCGGCCGCGTACGAATGTAATTGCATATCGGGGGCCGACCAATGGGTCTACAAATCCAGTACTCAGCCGTTAGTCTTGTTGCATAAAATAGTACCTTAAAGCCTTTTAGTTTGGGTTGAATTTATGCACGGTTATTTTAGCGTGGATATCATTTGTTTTAGAATTCCATAATGTCAAAAAGACCAATCCACCAATACAAAGAAGAACAATTAATACAAGCTATGACTACGAAAAATAGTAAAAATAGGAAGAAAAATACATGTAAGTACAATAAACAGAATGAGATGCAACAACTGTGAAGAGGAATTGACTAGCGATACAGAAATTAATGACTTAAAAAATATGGGATGTGACAATTGCCTTGGATGGTATCATTTGAACTATACTGAATTCGTTGGGGAAATATATGAAAATATATATAATAAAGAATTTTTATGTCAAATATGCAAGAATAAGTGAGAGGCTGACTACAGGGTAAGACATGGCTGACTTGTGGAGAAATGAGGCTACTACTGGTGAAAAGTGCCATAATTTGTTTACCACTGATTTTTTTTATATAATTCTATTATAAATATATTTTTTTGTTAATTTCTTTAGTAACTTTAATAAACAACTTTTCTAAAAATAATGATTGGTTTTGTTCATAGTGTTCAATATTTAAAATACAATTGAATCAAATTTTAGTCCTCACTAAAAGGCTGACTACTGGGTGTTTTACCCTATCTGGTATATTTAAACAATTATCATTTATCATCCTGCATAATGCGGAATTACTGAAGACACCACCATCTGAAATTCGATCCTGACATCCCACATTAGCGTACAAAAAATTGTAATCGGCATCTACTAACGCAAAGAGAACAACACTGAAATAATGTTTATAGTTTAATATTCACTTCCATTCCTTGGAGGGCATTTAAGTTTTATGTGTTTTCCATCCATTGATCCGAGACAATTAGGCACATTCCATTTTTTTTAAATATACATATGCAACTTTTCTCCATTCTTCTTAAATTAATAAATATTTTCATACTCTGAACGCAGTGACATAATCCAGATATTTATCATATAAACATTTTTGTACAGCTACTTACTTTCACATAATCTGATAATTCTTCAACCAAAGCGACACACTTCAGTGTTTATGCTTGAAATAAGTTGAGGATATACTTTGAAGACGTCGCAAAGGCTACTGAATGAATTTCCTGAGCTCAGATATTTTAACGTTATTGACAATCTGTCTACTGGTGGAATGGCTTTTCTGTAATTTGTATCCTGTTTAGCTATTCTGTGTCCAACGATATTAAGTAAATATTCAAAGTCAGTACTGGTTAATGACAAAAATGTTAAAAGAAATGGGTTTCTGTAAAACCATATCTTTTCTGTTTCTGTGAGGGATCTACCTACAATAACTGCAAGTGGCTAATATATATTTCTGTCTGTTATAGGTCTAACGGCACTAACTCGCCCGGTTCGTGCCGGCGGGCCGGCGGCTTCGGTGTACACAGCTAAATGTAGGCGGAATCCGAGAAGACATCATGAAAATCGTAGTGGTGGCAAACTAGCACACAGTCCACCTGATGGTAAGTGGTTGCTGCGGCCCATAGACATCTACATCTATCCTTGATTACCAATCAAAATGCAGATGTGTTGTCATCCTAAGATGGAATGTCTCGTTTACAGTAAAAATGGTCTTCAGTTCTCTACACTCACCATATGTAACACAGCAGCTCTAAGTTCCATTTCACGTCCTTTCCGTACATACCTATACTGATCTGTTTCACGCTGGTATTTAATGAGTGCGTGAGACCTACCCGGGTCGAGCCGACCCATTCATGCTATAACCATAATATATCTACAGCACGAATCTACCACATACAAAAGTTACAGCCTATATACGTCCCACTGCTGGGCACAGGCCTCCCCTCATTTCTAAGAGGATTTTAGGGCAGGGAATAGTCCGCCACGTAACCCCAATGCGTGATGGCGAACTTCCTATTCCTCACAATGTTTTCTTTCACCACCTAGCAAGTGGTAAATCAGCACTTAAAATTGCAATTAACAATTTTATTGGTGCCGGCGGGGATCAAACCTGGGTTACTCCAGTTTTGTTATATTTATAGCAAGCGTTAACCATCTGAGTTAGGTAACCACAGCTCTTACATACAAAAGTTTGTTTAAATTATCCATGCACCAGATTAGTTTATATTACTCTATAAAAATATCTATGTAGGTACTGTTTGAGCCAGAACAGAATATATTGCCTTCACAAAATATAGTAAATTAAAAATAATAATAATAAAGTAATAAAATTTCAAAACTAATAAATTATGTATGTACATACAAAGATTTAATGCAAATGAAGTTAAACTTATTCCATTAACAGTATCTTTATAAGCAAGTTATGCTTATTACAAGATTAGACAGATTTCATTACTTTTTAAATGTTGAAATAAATGTGCTGTCTACACAATCTAATTGATGCAATAACAATTGTTTTGATAGTTAAAACTCCCTAAGTAAATAACTAGATATTAATCAATGAAAACATCAAATGTAATTTTAGAAAATTTATTCTGTTATATTTTTAGACTTTTAATTCAGAATATGGTGACTTGGTCAATGGGATGTCTCGCCATAAGTCTGGTGTCAAGTAGGCGTAGGTCTTAGCTATTGCAGCATAGGTTGCTTTGGCAAAATTTCCCAATGTACCAGTAGATCCACGAGCAGAAGTGTAACAATCTTGAACACCAGCCATCTGGAGTAGTTTTTTAGGAACTGGAGCAGATACAATGCCGGTACCACGGGGTGCAGGTATCAATCTCACGGTAACCGATCCACACTTTCCAGTGACCTGAAATATATTACAAAAATTAGCACATTCTAGAATTTTAAATTAAATATTTATTTTTGAGTATGACATCAGACGCATAAAAAGCTTCATTGGACAGACCTCAAGAGGATACCACGAATGAAATGATTTTTGGTTATCATCATAATACACAAAACTAGCTTATAAGTAAAGAAATTACACAAAATAATTGAAAAATAATAAAGTTACCTTGCACGGCACAGTGTGAGGTTTTCCAATTTTATTACCCCAGTATCCTCTACGGACGGGAAGAACTGATAATTTAGCAAGTATAATCGCGCCTCTAATGGCAGTGGCTACTTCCTTGCTACATTTAACACCAAGCCCAATATGTCCATTGTTGTCTCCAATGGCTACAAACGCCTTAAAGCGCGTGCGTTGACCGGCACGCGTCTGTTTCTGCACAGGCATAATCTTAAGAACTTCATCGTTCAAAGAAGCGCCAAGGAAGAAATCAATTATTTCAAATTCTTTGATGGGCAAAGAGAACAGATAAATGCTTTCGAGCTTGTCAATTTTCCCTTCTCGCACCAAGCGTCCTAGTTTAGTGACTGGCACCCACTCTTTCTGGTCTTCTTTGCCGCGACCGCGACCGCGCCCACGCCCACGTCCACGGCCACGCGGGCCTCCACGACCTCTATCGCCACCACGAGAACCAAAGCCTCCGCGAAAACCGCCACGTCCACCGGCTGGAGCTGCGTCCGCCATTCTGTAAAATAAATTAAACTGTTACTGCGAATTCAAAACTGAACGAACGAAACTTTTATAATTGAACAATCTCAGACGCGTAAAAAGCTATCACAGTGTCGTAAACACTATAGTAGATACCACGAATGAATTTATGTAGGGTTTCATCATGAACTCAACACGTGTTGATAGGTTAACTCAGGTTATAGTGTGGAAATTAACATGATAATGTAATAATCACGCACTAATGTTTAATATAATATAATAATGGATAAAAACAATGAACATTAAAAGGTTAAGGTACAAAAATATAAAAAAATTAACTAATTATTTAACAATTCACACTTACTTAAAACTGTGCACACAGTCGGACGTTCAATTACAAAATGGCCGATATCTTTAACTTCTCAATTATATACTTTATGTTTTCCATAATCCATAATTCACAACTTCAAGTAGGCAATGGTCGTAGACCATATAGCCTAGTCTAATTGGTATTTCGTAAGTAGATTTCAAAATGCATTATATCGAATTAAAATAATAATGAATTATTGCTATTTACCTAATGTCTAAAATTAGTAAATTTTGATTCAAAAACAAAAATAGCAATATCGAACTGTAAGTGTCTTAAATAATTTAAACTGAAAAATTACACTTAGTAAAGTGAATTTATAATATGAGGGAAAGCCAATTGTGTTGTTGATTTATTGGATTATCAAAAAAAATTACACAATACAGCACAGTTTTTTTTAATTGATTTTACGGTAGTACTCTTATTAGTTTGTATTTGATTTAAAAAAAGGAGGAGTATCTCAATTCGAGTGCATGATTTTTGGTATGTCGGTAACACAGACTACTATGATGCTTACGCATGTAGGTATGATATCAATTGTAATTATTCTTTTTTAATAATAATAAATAGGTAAGGTAATAATTTTCCCTGAATTAGTTCTGTGAAATTTGGAGAAAATGTTCCTTATAACTAGTCGATGAAATTTGTTATTGTTTACAGAAACAACACGTCTTTTTTTAATCCGGTCATCAGAATGTGTAAACATTTTGATGAGCTGAGACATGGTAACGGTCATTCCGACATTTTAATTCTAACATTTCACAATTTATATGATCTGTAATTTCTTCGTTAAATATATAAGTTTCATGAATAATCATTAAAGAAGATTTTTATATGACACTCATGAAATCATAATATGTATTAACTATTAATTTTTTAATACTTGTTTTCATGTTTTGTTTTTGTGTAGCAATTCTTTTCTGGACAGGTTGGATGGACTAACGGGTTATCTGTGAGGTTGGTAGCCTTTATATGATATACCGATGGGTCAAAAATGGGCCTCGACGTAGGCTTTGGAATTTATGGGGAATTGCTCAAAAAACTTATTATGAATTTGCGTAAATTCACCTCTATCTTCCAGACAGAAATTTACGCCACATTTTGGCGTTCGAAAATCAACCTGCAAAAACACTACGTCAAACATATTATCTGTATAAACTGTAATAGTCAAGCAGTGCTGCTATCACACTTAGTGAAATCGAAGCTAGTTGGAGACTGCGTAAACCGTCTAAACGCCCTAGGATGTAACAACCGGATCGTTTTAAAATGGGTTTTAGTTTCAAGTCTGGGGTATTGTAGGCAATGAAATTGCCGACAAACTCGCGCGGTAGGGCACAAAGAGTACACAATTTGGACCCGAGCCCTTTTTTTGGAATCTCAAAAACCCTTGCCCGATTGACCCTTGAAACTCTTTATCAGAATAAATAACTTAAGATACGGTCTGATACAGCATGCTTAAAACATTTTAACCTTAATCCCGGCTTTTGATCGTTTTCGATTCAGAAGCCCTGGGATTAGGTAAAAATATAGTGCGCATTCTGGTACTGACTGGCCACTGTTGTCTTAAAAAGTCCATATACATTCTAAGACTAAGCACATCATGGATGTTCCAGAACAGAAGAAAGGCCTATGCCCATCCTAGCTGATTTTGGACCCTTAATGTACAAACGTAACAGTCATTTGGGAAACTATGAACTTCGTACAGAAGAAGTAAAATTGCTCACAGCTAGGCAACTCCTTTTATTCATTGAAGACATATGACTTAGCAGCGGACACTAGCTATAGCAGCGATTACAATTCACAATAGATCTTTAGGACGCAGTGATACGGATCTTTGTAGACCTGCTTAGCTGCTGGCACCTAAGGACTATTTCTAAGGCACTGTGTTCGCTTTCAATTAGAGCCATGGAGGTCAAAACAGTCATAATGCCACTTTCACTTAGACGGATATTTCTATTAGATAGGTTATGAATAAAATTGTTACCTAGTAATAATCAATAGATCATTAAAAAAGTCTTACAATTTCATTTAACTTTTCAATCTCCCTTGGTTTCTGCATCGGATTTGCTTTGTAATTAAGTTTCAAATATTATCCTAAATTCTTGTAGACACAATATCAAAATATACGTAAACAAAAAGCTTAAAGGATAAGCATCCAAGCCAAATATCTTAATTAAAAATATTAATATGCTGAAATCTGCGAGAAACTGAAATCTGAGCTACACGTTGTTCGAGAATGATTTGTATAAATCGTATCGGAAAAAAAAGTTAATTGCGGAATCGTTAGAAATATTTGTAATCCCAAGTAAAAAAATTGTGAGTTTATAACTTTATTTATAAAAAATAAAAAAATTTTTTACGCCGTGAGAAAGTAGAAAAATACGTTTTTCTTGTAAGAAATTGATCTAAGAACATTGATATTACTGCGAACCGTTTGCAAATTAATTACCGATTCTGTAAATAAATATTGTTTTTATTGCGTTATTCGCTATAGATACTGAGTAATAAGTTATTTATTTTTTCGTCAACTACTCTACACCAATTCGGGCGGTTCGTGTACCATATTGTATAAATCGTATCGGAAAAAATAGATAATTGCGAAATCGTTAGAAATGTTTGTAATCTCACTACTGCGGGACTTATTAAAGTTAGAATAAGATTGAAAACCAATACTCCCTGAAGAAGCCGTTGCACCAGGAGACCATCGCTGCATTGTACACACTTCTGAATCCGCGATGCACTTGCACAAAGCTTCTTATTGTTTTTGTTGTAGTTGTTTTCTTCTCCGAATTCCGATGAACTGAAGCTGATGACTAGTAGTGACTGACTGACTAGTAGTCGGACGTTTCATTGAAAAATACAAATACCTACTATATATATACGTGTGTCTGGTCATGACCCAGCGATGATTTAAGGTTACAAAATATACCTAATTTCATCGAGAAAAACACCTATATATGGGGGTCTACCCCCCTCCTGTCGGAATGGCCGCCATTTAATTTTTTTTATTCTTGTAAATACCTCTGCCAAAAGATGCAGATTTCTCTGGACAGAAAGGTCCTATAGATGTAAAAAAAATGTTATTTAAAAGGTAAAAATAGCATCTATCAAATAAAAATAAACATCATGGAAAGTTTTCCCTACAAAATATCTTAAAACATTTACAATGCTAATTTAAGTAAAAAAAAAAATTACTATTTTTTTTAATTTTCTTAACATACTTCAAAAACTAGCGCATTGATACTAAATTTTTTAATACTATCCTAATACTTAAAGATATTTCTTACAAATTGACATTAAAATTATTGTTCTTAATTGCATAACTCGAGAGTTAGGGCTGTTTGAATATGACCCTTTTGCGACGGTCCCAAACCCATGTAGAGCTACCTGCTACATTGAATAGGGTTTATGTGACAAGGACGGAAAATGATTTGTATTATTGTTAGGGCGGTGAATAAGTAGGACAAAAAATCATGTTTGACCAGCGCAGGTATCGAAGATAAATGTTTGTTAGATCAGTTGTCCTCCTCGCAATTGCGATCGCTACTATTCCGTTCCGTTTTGTGAGCTATTCCTTCACCGAGATATTTTGCTGAGTTTGTTGTAGTTTGCAGTGACTACGTACTTTTCGGATAAAACATGTCTAACTATTCGTCTTATCAAATAGCTGACATGCATTTCGTGTATGGCAGATGTAATGGAAGCGCTGCTGCCGCCGTACGAATGTATCGTCAGAGGTATCCCGACCGGCCTACACCCAGTCGACAAACTATTGTTGACATTCACTTAAGATTGTCGCAATATGGCATCCAAAATCCGCCAAATGAACGCTCCCGCAAAGTGTCAGTGTAAGCAGAAGAAGAAGTTCTTCAACTTATTTATCGCGATCCCAGGCTCAGTGTAAGGCGAATAGCAATGATGCTGCATTTGTCAAAATGGGTTGTGTAGAAAATTTTAAAACGCGAAGGCATGCATCCGTACCATTTTCGTTGCGTGCAAGATATTCGAGAGCCAGAGTGTGCTGTGCGAGCCACTTTTTGCTCGTGGCTCAAGCTGTTGTGTGCGACGTCAACCGACATTTTGTAAAATAATCATGTGGACCGACGAGGAATTAGGTGGGGGCCCCTAAACCATGGATAGGACGTGGTGGAACGCTAGCTTGGCCACCTCGCTCTCCGGATTTAACACCTCTGGATTATTTTTTATAGGGATGGAAGAAACAGAGGGTTTATGTTACAGTCCCAAATAGCAGACAAGAACTGCTCGACAAAATAATGACGATTGCGGATGACATAGGATCCGACATAGTCTTAATATCAAAGGCCACACAACAAATGGCTGTAAGGTCAGTGGCCTGTCTACAGAATAGAGACGGACATTTTGAATAATTATTAAATTAATAATAATACTTAATGCCATTAAAAGTTTCTTAAAAGTTATAGTGTATTTTTATTTAATCCATTATCGAAAATTAATAGCGCTTATATGAGGCTCTACATACATGACCCTTGCAAAAGGGTCATATTCAAACAGCCCTAACTATCGAGTTATGCAATTAAGAACAAAAATTTTAATGTCAATTTGTAAGTAATATCTTTAAGTATTAGGATAGTATTAAAATTTTAGTATCAATGTGCTAGTTTTTGAAGTATGTTAAGAAAAATAAAAAGATAGTCAATTTTTTTTACTTAAATTAGCATTGTAAATGTTTTAAGATATTTTGTAGGGAAAACTTTCCATAATGTTTATTTTTATTTGATAGATGCTATTTTTACCTTTTAAATAACTATCAATAATAATTTTACATCTGTAGGACCTTTCTGTCCAGAGAAATCTGCATCTTTTGGCAGAGGTAGCTACAAGAATAAAAAAATTAAATGGCGGCCATTCCTACAAGAGGGGGGGTAGACTCTCATATATGGGTGTTTTCGTCGATGAAATTAGGTATATTTTGTACCCTTAAATTATCGCTAGGTCGTGACCAGACACACGGTGCACGAACCGCTCGAATTGATGTAAAGTAGTTGACGAAAAAATAATTAATTTATTACTCAGTATTTATAGCGAGTAACGCAATAAAGGCAATATTTACAGAATCGGTAATTAATTTACAAACGATTCGCAGTGGTTTCAATGTTCTCAGATCAATATCTTATAAGAAAAACGGATTTTTCTACTTTCTCGCGGCGTAATTTTTTTTAGATTTTTTATAAATAAAGTTGTAAACTGACATTTTTTTACTTGAGATTACAAATATTTCTAAGGATTCCGCAATTATCTAATTTTTTTCCGATACGATTTATATAAATTATTCGCGAAATTCGTGCAGCTTGAAATCTGTTCTTTTATAGGCTCAGAAGAGCTAGAACCCAGAGCCCTAAAGCCAGTTTCTCTGTCTACGGAAATAAAGTTGTCGATACATTCCGATACATTCGTAGACAGAGAAACCTATAGACTAATGATCGGCGTGGCCTCGAGTGAGAAAGGACGATAACGAATTTTTAAGTTATACAATAATCTTAATGACTTTTAAACACATTTAGATAAAAATTTTAACTGTTCTAAGAACTGAACTGACCAACATTCACCGATCTTAAGCTCACAAAACACTTTTTTCTCACTTAAACCACCTTGTTAGATCACACTTCTAGAGAACCAAACTAACTAACTAGAGAAACAAACTTCTTAGATCGCTACGAACTGTCAAAGTTATTTAGTAAAGTGTAGTTTGCTAAGAGGTTTTTCGGAGGAAGTGAGAGATACAAGTGTCGTGCCTTTTTTGCTTAAAATTTATTGTTTTATTAAGTGTTGTTGATTTACCATAGTAAATTTTTCTGTCTTGGTGGAGGTTTTAATATCTGTAAATTAGTAAGTGTTTGTAGTTGTGCCGTTTTTATGTAATTTTTTGTTGTAGTAATATAATGGAGGACGAACCTCCCGATCCCGGAAGGGTTCGCAATGATTCCTTTTCCTTACCCACTAACATTGATAATGTAGAACTAATTAACCGTAAACATGCCCAAGTAAGTAACGAGTTTGCCCATCCACAAAAAATAGTTATTACTGATCCAAATCAACAGTTTCCTTCAATACAATCCTCATATACCCATCCTGATTTTATTAATAAAAAAGTTAAGTACTCTCAAGATGATGCCGCTCCTTTTCTAGTTCACGTAAGTAAAATCTCAAATGATCAGCTGTCTGGAGTAACTCTTAAACCAATTAAATTCGGTCACTTTCTGTATCATAACAATATTAAAAATATAGTCAATAATGGAGTCAAAAAAGTTGGACGAATTGGATTATCCGTGGAGTTTAAATCAGCTGCAGATGCAAACACCTTTATCGATCACCCAGCTCTCCAAATTTCTAAATATGAAGCAACCATCCCCTCATATAGTATCACTCGTATGGGGCTAGTTAGACAAGTTCCCATAGAGTGGACACTAGAAGAATTAATAGCAGCTATAGAAATTCCCTCTGGATACGGTTCTATAATTAAAGCACGGCGACTTAATAGACGATCAGTGAGTGACAGCAATAGCGTTTCATGGGTTCCAACTCAGACGGTTGTTCTAACTTTTTCTGGACAAAAACTTCCTCCCCATATTTACTGTTTTTACACCTCAATGCCAGTGGAAAAATATGTTTTGCCACTAATTCAGTGTCATAAATGCTGTAGATATGGCCATGTTACTTCCCAGTGCCAATCATCTCCTCGCTGCTTTGTATGTGCACAGAATCATGAAGGTTTATCTTGTACTCGACAAACTCCTACTTGCCTATTCTGCTCTGGTCCCCACACCGCAAAAGACCCTACATGTCCTGAACATCTAAGGCAAAAATCTATTAAACTTGTTATGTCACAAGAAAATATTTCATATTTAGAAGCTTCAGCTAGATTCCCTCAGACAAAAAGATCCTTTGCTGATACAACAAGAATCCAGCCTCGTAATTGTTCTTAACAGACCCCTTATACTATAACTGACAGTCTTTCAACCCCTTCGGCTCAGCTCTCACAAACTGCATCATATAAAAAAACAATTTTTATCCCTCAACGTACCCGCAGCCCACCATTAAATTCTGGATATGATATGGCAGCCCATCAAGCAATGAGGGTTTTCTGAAATGTTCCCCGTGAGATGGCAGCGCTGTAGTGTCAGGTCCAACTACCTGTCAAAACACTTACACGATTTATATTTTTCGATCATTTTTTTGGTTTATTTATCCTTAAAAACGTTACAAACAGAATATTGTTTTCCAAAATGCCACAGTGTTGTGCAGTGCCTATGTGTGCAAATAAAAAAAGGAGGGCATAAGTTCCCTACAGAAGATAAAAACCGATTAAAACAGTGGCTTGTAGCCATTCGCAGAGATAAATTTACTCCAACGAAAAATAGCCTCGTTTGCAAAAGCCACTTCACAAAGGATGATTACCAGCTACCGAAGGACTCAGTATTAGAAAAACGTAAGAATATTTTGTACTTATTTATAATGATAAGCTTCAGTTAAGTCACCTTGATTATATCTGTGCGCGACTAACCTTCAATAATGTAGTGTAAACGTTTTTTAGTACTTGCCCTATCAAAAATGATTTCATTATGACATTATATTTATTGAATTATTATTCCAGCGAGGCCTGTGTTGAAAAAATGTGCAGTGCCAAGTCGATTCCCATGGATTGACCAAAATTCTAGTTTGCATCAAAAAAAGAAGGAGCGGCATCAAAGGCGTTTGGCGCGAAATGAAAGGAAAATTAGTGTCCAAGTACACATAAACAATGAAAAAGAGAAGGATGACACCTTCCTCATGGAAACTACAAACTTTTTCGAAGTAGAAATTGAATTCGAGAAGAAACAGAATGATGTTGGTATCCAATGTGATTTATGTGGAAGTGATAATCTCAAAACACTTAAAGAATGTCTTCAAAATGAAAATAAAAATAAAAAATCTTCAATTGCAAATGTGCTAGATATAACCAATGCGGCCGAAGTACAGTTTTATACTGGTTTCCAAGATTATGAACATATCAAATTCATATTTAGTATTTTTGGAGATGAAGTAAATTGTTTAAAATATTATCCTCAACTGAAAACATTGAAGGTGCCGTTTCTAAACCCTTGTGATCAATTCCTTCTAGTGTTAATTAAATTACGCCGGAACATGCTATTTACAGAACTCGCCTTTCGATCGAAGATTAATCAAACGGTACTAAGTAACATTTTCATAACATGGATCAATTACTTATATTGTAAATTGAAAGAGTTAAATGTTTGGGTGCCAAAACAATGCATAGATAAAAATATGAAATACTATGGCAAGATTAATCCATGCACTGTGATAGTAGATTGCACGGAAATAAAAATAGAGAAGCCCAAAAATCCACTTACACAACAGCTTACATATTCCACTTACAAATCAGCAAATACTCTAAAAGTTTTAATTGGGATTTCAGCATCAGGCTGCGTTACATTTGTATCCGATGCATATGGTGGATCTACGAGTGATCGTGAATTGTTTGAAAAATGTGGACTTATTGATAAACTTGAACCTAATGATATCATTTTTAGTGACCGTGGCTTTAATGTACAAGACCTAGTGTGCCATAAAGATGTTACAGTTAATGTGCCAGAATTTTTAAAAAATACTGATGGACAATTTGAGACTTCTCAACTGACAAGGTCAAAAAAATATATCTTCAGAACGGATACACGTTGAAAGGGTCATTGGTTTGGCTAAAACTTTTAAGATCTTAAGCGGCAAGTTGGATTCAAAATTGGTGCCTTTAGCAGATAGAATAATATTTGTATGTTTTATGTTAACCAATTTCAAAAATAATATTATAAAGTAAAATATGTTTTTTTCAATTTTATTTAATTGATGTCGCTTTTAACAGTACTGTATTAAACATACTTTATTAAATAATAACAAGAATACAAAATTAAACTTTGTTCTAATTTCTATCACATAGAATCTTACAATATACTATAAAAATATATTAACAATCATACATATTTTTTTGCTATCTTTGGCAACATAAATTGAAAAAAGAAAGCTTTTACTCGAGGGATTATAATATTTTGTATAAATGAATCATTTTTTTTAACATTTATTATTTTTTCATCAACATTAGTCCATATAAATAAATCACAACAATCTCTTCCTGTGACAAGTAACTGCGTTTGGATTTGGTAATAATAGTTGCTTGTTTCTTTCAGTTGCAAATCATGCTCTAAATGGAAATAATTGTTGGATCCAATCATTTCATCCTTTATGGAATATGGACATTTAACTTCTAAAATTTTGTTATCTCCAATTAATCCATCAGGAGAAGCGCCAATGAAAGGGTACTGCACAGAAACATATAAACCACAGCGTTCTACTTTTTTTCCAGTTTTCCCCTCATATGCTTCAATTGCTGTGGTTTCCATAGACTTGCCCCATTCTAAGGCCGTGCTTACTATTTTCTTATTACATATAAGGCTTTGTGCATACTTTTCTTGGTCCTTTTTAGCAGTAAATTTACAAATCTCACCGACTCTTGAAGCAGTCACTCGAAAAGATCGTTCTGTATGCCATAACTTTGTCTTCGTCTGATTTTTTAGTTTTCTTTTCAATTTCCTTTGCTGAGTCAGGTGTAACCTGTTAGGGGCAAAGGATAAGGAAAGTATGAAAGTATAAACCTAAACAAACATCTACAATCCCTATGCAAGTGCAATTAATATTGATGATTACATAATATACTAAATAATAAAAAAATATAGTAGCTACAACTTCTCATGATTCACCACCTCGCTTGCTACAGTACAGTCAATAAGATTGTACATGTCGTAGCTACTATAATAAATAAATTCATCTGGAATAAATGGCTTACAGATATTTTATTAAGAATAAGTTGATGATGTAAAGGAAAAGGTAGGTAATCATGGTCATGTATCACATCTTGCATGTTTGCACTGTCCAAAATTCCACATAATCCTATTCTTTTTTGTGACAATGAGCAGTAGTTAATGACTTTATTTCTAACTGTTGTAGCCCATTCTTTTCCCTGACTGATAAAGGACTGTGGTCTTGGATCATAGCACACACTTCTTTTCTTTTTTTTTGCAAACATTATATTCTGCTATTTCATATGAAAGGTTCTCTGCTTTTTTCGGCGAAACATCAAGTTTATTTTTTTTAGGTACATGCCATACTTGTTTTTTTTGTGTTGGAGTCATTTTAATTAACCATATATTCTGCTCTCGGAATTTGAGTATAGCATAGCACAAAACTGACACATGCTTGCAAATGGCTTTTGGTCCTTTCCCTGCTACACATTCACACACCGATTGTATAATAGATCCACTTCCATTACATATGGCAATGGAAGCAAAATAAGTGAGGGCTTTTGTATTTTCAGAATGGACTTGACCTTTGAAAAATATATGTGTACTAGTATTTGCGGTCACTAATGCGAGTAGGTAGTTATTTTGCAGCATATTATAACCTCTTCTGTGCACTGCAGAATAATCTGACATTCCTATGCCGTCTTTATACAATTCAAGGAAATACGTATTTATGTTAATAATGTCAAAATTGGGTAAAACTGTTTTTGAATCTACACTTTTGTATAACTTTTCTTCTGGCCATTCTATTACATAATTAATCTCACTTAAGAGATGAGAATTATCATTTTCATTTGATTTGAAGTTGTTGTTTCTGTCATAGTCATTTAGCCTGGAATATATAATATACATTAATCAACAACAACTCACTAAAACACAAATAACTTCAATTTAGTAGTTAAAAAAAAACAATCAAATTGTGGAAACAAATAGAAGTAGATTATGTTTACCTTTCAATGAGCTTTTCCTTAGTACCAGTGACTTTTGCGCCTCTCTTTTTGAGCTCAATTTTCAGTTCGGCAACCTTTCTTTGGCCGTAATCCATAATAAAATCAATAACTCTTCCAAATACATAAAATTTCACTAAAAAAAATAATACGTTCGGTAGGAATCTGTGCTATCTGACAGCTGTTTGGACCTGACGCATACGAAGCACCGCCTGGCGGCAAAAAAAGTATCGGAAACCCTGATTGTTGAGAATCCTAATTCTTCCCTTCCTAATGGGTGTGCTCTACTGGGAAATGACAACAACTCCTCTAGTAATGATAATTTCTGCGAACTTATGATATCAATTCTAATTAACATGATCTCCCGTTTTAGTGACACGGAACTTCCTCTCAGCTTACACCAAAAACTTACTCAGCTTTCCTCCTTAGCCCGTAACATTCGCAGTCCCGCCAATTCTTCAATGGAATTGTCGGAGTATTAGAAATAAAAAAAATGAACTCATTTACCTCATTAACAAATTTCATCCCTTCATTCTTGCCATCCAGGAGACATGGCTTAGGCCTGAATCTCATTTTAGGGTTTCAGGCTACGCATGCCTCCGGGATGATAGGAGTGATGGTCGTGCTGGCACCTCTATTTTAATTTCAAGAACTGTTACATTTTCACAAATTCCTCTCCCTTCTCATAGTCCAGCAGTAAATGCTGTTGCTATTAAGGCCCTTGATGTCTCTATTCTCTCTGTTTACATTCCTAATCCTGATGTAAATGTTTTAACAGAACTTGCAACACTTATCTCTTCTCTGTCACCTCCTATGGTTATTTTGGGAGATTTTAATATGCATCATACTGTTTGGGGCTCCCATCTGTGTGATTCACTGGCTCCCTTATTTCTAGATCTTATTGATAATTTTAATCCCTGTATTCTAAATGATGGGTCTCCTACCCGTCGAGTATCCCCATTACAAAATGTTAGAAGTGCCGTTGACCTAACTCTCTGCTCTCCAGATATTGCTTCCCTTCTTTTGTGGCAAATATTACCTTCTAACTATGGCAGTGACCATTTTCCTATATTCATCACTCCTCCTACTTCACCTAGAATAAATTTTACATTTTGCCCAAGACTAAAGTATAATCTATCCAAAGCTAATTGGCAATTATATTCTAAAGTCTTGGAACAAGAGGTTTCAACTCTTCCCCCAATTAACAATGATAATATTGCTACTGTATATATAGAGTTCAGAAATGCAATTATTTCTGCTGCTAATAAGTCAATCCCCTTAAAAAAAACCTTTCAAAAATAATTATCCCTCCCCTCCTTGGTGGGACCAAGATTGTTCAGCAGCTTGTAGGAGAAGAAAAGAGGCTGAATTAATATA